TGTTTATACTTATCGGAATTTTTTATGACCACCATATCGAGTAGGGGTGGGTCTGAAAAATTGAAAACCAAAAAAAAAAAAAAAATCGAACCGAAGTTGTCAAACCGAATCGATGCGCTCCAGCTCAAAAAGTTTCAGTGAAACCAACTTGGCAACAGGTTTTGTTTTGTTATGATTATATGACTAAACTATTTATAAAGATCAACAAAACCCTAGCCACTGGTAGTAGCAGCTGCACCTTTTCTATTTTTCATTCCCCTCTTCTCTCTCTCGTCCCTGCCTCCAATTTACCCATTCTTCTCCATAACCCGCAGCCAGCCCTCTCTTCATCCCGACAGCCCACTCTCGTCGTCTCTCCGTCTTGCCGTCTCGACTGCCCACCCACAACCTTGTTTTTGAGCCTCTCGATCTTTTTCTTGAGATGAACTGTCTGATATGACTTTCGCGGAGCATCCTCCTTTCTATTACAAGCTTCATATTTGTGAGAACAAACTTCCGCAGCCATCTATTTCCATGACAGTATCTTCCATGGCACTGAGGGACTTGTGTTCTTTTTCAAAGGGTCTATGCCTAGTCTGATGAACGTGATTGTCCTCCCCAGTCTCTCTTATTTATTTTTTCGATTTATGGGTTTTTTAAGGGTAAATTTTGGTGTAAATTTATGGGTTGTTGGTTTGGTTCGTATTGCAGATTTATTCGATTTTGGTGTTATGGGTTTGTTAGTTATTTGAATTTTAAATGAATGAATGTAATTATTGATGTGAGTTGTGGATTAAGATAGTATTTTGATCGATTATGTGCTTGTGTTGCTCTTGGTGTTGCAGATTTGTTTCTTTCCAGATTTATTAGTTTATCAAATTTCTTATTTAAAAAAAAATCTGAAAAAAAAAAACCAAACTGGACTGAAACAAAACCAAAAAAATCCAAAAAAAAAAAAAAAAGAACCAAATCAAAATTTCGGTTCGGTTTTAGTTTTGGCAAAAACCGAACTGTTTTGAACCGAATCCAGCCCTAATATCGAGAATAAAGAAAGATTAGGCAAGCAGAACACCCTTTCATCTCTTCAAACATTAATTAAAGTAAAATATATATTATTGATAAAATAAAATACAATGAAAGCCCTGCAAAAAAGAATACAAGAAAAATCTGAAAAGATTATAACAAGAAGTGAATAATTAGGCATGTACCAGTCTTTGTGATTATAATTAAGATGACACACACATTACATAGAGGTGTTTTATTGTCCAAAATATTTGTGCAACTTGTGAGTTTGGAGGACTGAGATGAATTTCTGGTCTTTGATATTTATAACATAAGTACGTGCATGTGTACTTTGTATAGACATAATCGATCATTACAGATTATAACCAATCATGAGATGACCTGATCGTGGAGTAATAGTCGTGATCATATGGAATACATTATACATGTATGTATGCCGACCGGTAAACATATTTGCTCCAATATAGATATGCTGAACTGCGTTCTAATCTGGATGTGGTGAATGGTGATTGCGAATTTGCGATAAAGCAAAGCATGGGTTACGTTACATGCATTACTTGAATCCATGGCCTTCACGTTTCACAATTCAGAGCATGCAGCAAAACATGCTGAAGCCCCAAAGTAATAAAACTTTATGAGCAAAACGTTAAAGAAAACATATATAGAGCCATAATTTAAAAATACTTGTATACATATTTGTGGGCTAAGAGTAAGATTAAGAGTAACTCTCTATTATGATACTGAACTACATGTGAAAGAAGCCCAAATGCGCAAGAAGCCTAAACAGAAATGACTATTCTAGGAAGTCCATTATTTTCAGCTGCTGGCATAACTTAAATCATTATCCTCAATCAATATTAAGTTACACTACAATCTATGCGCATATATTGTAGCTCAACTGAGTCTTGTAAGTGCCTTTTGTATTCTTTCTTCTTCTTTTTCAAGGAATCAAGGAAAAAAATTCAGAGCGATAGAACTTAATTAGAATATGAGCATTTCCAACCATGTTTCTTATATTCAAGTTAAAATTTAGTCAAAATGATTATAAAATTATTTTCGAAGTCATTCTCAAGATTTCAGAGAGTGTTATTGATTCACTACTCAATACATTAATATGGTCTTTTCACTTAAATTTTACCATATGCACAACTTGACAAGCGTATATTTTTTATCAGAAACGAACATTGGTGTAATTAGGATTGGAACTTTTCATTGTATAGTGCACTTTATTATGCTAAAATTCGATGTGGGATTTTTAAATTCTTCAACAAAACCTCTCACGTGAGACCACATAGTGAGCCATAAGTGCAACCGATTCCACTTCGATGATGAATTTTTTTTCCCTTTGTAATTCAAAGCAAAGGAAGTCAAGGCAAGACCCCAATACTTCAAGCAAGGGAAAAAAAAGTAAAGTCTCACAAACTTATTAGTCAATCAACCCGCTATGATATTCTGTTAAAATTAGAAAGAGATGAGTTAACATTTCACTGTTAATAACATCAATGTTGTCCATAAAAAACGTTCATGTAATTAAAAGTAAAACTATTCATTGTATATTATACTTTAATTTATCAATTTAATTTTGCGGATGCTATAGTTAACATGTATATGGATAGTATACATGAGGAGTGCGCGTACAGAGGAAAAGAGAGTTAAATATTAAGTCGTTACTTTCCTTGAAGAGTGAGGGCAAGGGCAAGGTTAAGTCGGGAGTTTGGAGGGGGACAGAAGCGCGAAATTAAAGAAGGGGAAGGCAAAAGATGTAACAGGTGTTGCTCCTGATGAAACGTTATTTTTCTCCTTTCTCTCTCTCTCTCTCTCTCTCTCTCTCTCTCTCCCTCCCCCCTCCTATTCTTTCTTTTTGTTTGTTTTGTAATGGAAGTTTGATTTTTATTATTATAAATATTGGAAAGAGCGTGAGGCCAAATTCCAAGAAGCGGAGGCTGTTGAATTAGAAAGTAAATGGTAGAAGAGAAAATGAGAGAATAGTCAAGATTCAAGGCCCTGCCGTGCTGATCCCTGCCTGACCTGCCTGGAATAATAGTTGGTCCTGGTTACTATGCCCGCTCAGTTCTCTTCTATTTGTACGATCAAGATTAAGACACGTCAATATTTTATATCATTATTATTTTTTGTTTTATTATCTTTATAAAAAAATTAATATACAATATTGATGTGACCTGACCTTGACAACATAAAATATAAAAAAATAGAAATGTATAGGAACTGAGAGGCCATAAAAGCCGGGTCCATAATACTTACTAATTGATCAGTCTGGGCTGAGGATTAGTCATCTCATATTCATGCCCGCCCGCCCGCCTGCCTACCTGTAGAGAGAGAGAGAGAGAGAGAGGGAGAGAATAGTGTTGGAGTTGGCACTGTCCCATAAATGCAAAAGGGTTGTGCAGGCATTGAGGTAAAAGGATTTGTCCTCGAATGACACAAGGGGGATCCCCTTGGTGCTTTTGTGGGGGTTTATTATTTCACTGCGGGGAGCCTGAGGGAGAGGTACAACCCGAAATAAATGTAAAGGGTAAATTACATTTTATTTTTTTAGGTTTGAGGTTGATGTTAATTTTTTATAATATCTTTAAAACATTTCAATTTAATATCTCATAATTTTTATAAAACATTTCTATAAAATTTGTAAATTTGATATCTCACAATTATTTTCTCATTAGATTTTCATGTTATGTTACCTATCTGTCGATTTAATAGTAATTTTTTTGGGTTTTTCCTGCGTAGCTTAGGTGGAAGGCAAAGAAGACCCTCTTTTGAGAAGTTGGAACCATCAATGAGATACCATTTTGGAAGAGTTAGAATTATAACCTTGTGTCAAGACCTATGGATGAAGGTAGACGTGTTTTTTCCAAATATTTTACGTAATCGTGAAAAGAACAAGTTATAAACCATTCCAAGGCGAATTTCCTATTTATTGGACGAAAGTATTTTTTTTTATATAGGAGATTCAAGCCAACAAGTAGAAAAAAATTAGCGGGGTCCTAACCATTTACAAAACGGTCTTCTGCCCTTAAGAATATTTCCAAAAACTCCTACGTGAAATTTCAAAAGCTCACGGTGTGACGAACATTAAAAGAAATAGATTTTATGATAGTTTTTGCAAAAAAAATTACAAAACCAATTAAAATCCCACATTTTTTGTGAACATTTTGAATTTTGTATTTTCACAAAATATTTTGTGTCAGCATTAAGAAAACGTTACAAACCATTTGTAATCGGTTTTTTTACCATTTATTGAGCATCAAAATTATTTTTATAAAATATTTAAGTCGAAAACTTATAAATAAATAGAAAAATTGGCCCAAAACATTGCTAAAAGGAAGTTCTACACACAGGAATATGTCCAGAATGTTCTACGTGGAATCTCAAAATCTCACAGTGCAGCAAAGATGAAAAGAAATAAGCTTTATAATGGTTTTTTTTACAAATTTACAAAACTGATTAAAAATTGTGAGTATTAAGGAAAGGTTTAAGGCAAAACTGATTAGCCCACAATGTTTGTGAAAGCAATAGAATTTTGTATTCTGGCTGAATAAATTGTGTGGGCATTAAGGAAAGTGTTATAAACCATTTGAAAGTAGTTTTACCTTTTATTGAGCATCGAAGTATTTTTTATAGAATATATAAGTTGAAAACTTAAAAATAAGTATAAAAAAAAAATAGTGGGGCTTAAAATATTTACAAAATGATGTTCCGTCTATAAGAATATATCTGAAAATTTCTTATACGAGATTTTTAAAACCTTACGATATGGTGAAGCTGAAGAGAAATCGTTTTTATAATTTTTATTGAAATTTGCAAATTAATTAAAAACTATGAGTGTTGACCCATATTTTTTGTGTTTTCGCAAAATATTTTGCATGACTATGAGGAAAAAAAAATGTTATGAAGTATGCTAAAGCAATTTTATTATCTATTGAGCAACCAAAATATTTCATAACAATATTTCGGCGAGAAACTTAAAAATAAGTAGATATTTTTTATTTTTTATTTCGACGAAATATGGAAATACCAGAAAGCCTCTCCCAGTTCCCTATCGCGGAGGGCCTGAGCTTGGCGCTTTAAACAAAAGGGTTGCTGTCTGTGTGCATCTGAGCGACCACTGCCAGCATTTGGAGGGGCTTCCAAAAAATTCAATGACTCAGTAAGTTTGACATGCAATTACTCAGGCTTCCTTATTGATTTTCTGTCAATTCAATAGAATTGGGTTTTGCAATTTCCTTTTAGTTTCTGGGCGCGATTGTGATTTTACTTGTGGGAATCTTCGTTTTTCTTAGTTAGAACCATGGAATAATATGGAAATTGATTTCTTTTAAATTGTATAATGTGTTGTTCGAGCTTCATCCTCCAATTCCTCCCGATGTTCCATAATCCATAATTAATTCCGCTTAGATATTATTAGATAAATACATGAATTCGGATTTGGGAAATCCACAGGCAGTGATAGTGCTCATAGAATAGAATAAAGAAATAGGGGTGATTTGGCACTAGAAGACTAGCTGCAGCCTGCAGGAATGGATCCTTAGAGTTCCATCGATTATAATTTCTTCTCAACTTGATGTAAATATGTATTTATTGCAGTGAATCTGATGGTGCATCGGTAGGAACTTCTCTTGTAGATATGAGTCATCTTTTTGGACAGGATGATGATGATGATGATGATCAAAGGACTCCAAATTCTTGTAAAGATGGATCAAGTCTAGTCCAACCACATGAGCCGTATGTGGGTCAGGAATTCGACTCACAAGAAAGTGCACTGGCATTTTATAATGCCTATGCCACTCGTATGGGTTTCGTTACTCGTATGAACGATATGTATCGATCCAAACACGATGGAACCGTCATTGGGCGGACATTGGTATGCAACAAAGAGGGTTTCCGAAAGCCTGACAGGCGTGACAAGAAGACCCTAAAGCCTCGGGCTCAAACTAGGGTAGGTTGTAGGGCAATGCTGTCCATCAAGAAACTCAGTGTTGGGAAATGGGTTGTTACATGGTTCGTTAGGGAGCACACTCATGCATTGACTCCCAACAAAGCTCTAAAAGGACTGGTCAATGATCAAGTACCGGTAAGTTATCGTTATCTTTTACAGTTGTTATTGACTTTAATTTGTTCTTAGCAATTTTTTGTTTTCGTCATGGATATTAACTCATATTAGACTTGAAACAATCTTATATTGAGGTTCTGCAACTTAATTTGGTCAATTAAATGGGATTTTTGGGAGTTACAGAGCTCATAATGTATCTGCTGCGCATGTTGCTCAATGCCATATTTTTGGGGACTTCATATGAGAGTTACATTATTGAACAGGCCTACAAGTTGACATGACAGTTGCATCGCATTAGTATGACCTGAAATTCATTTACCATAGGCTTCTTTTCTTTTTTCACTCTGTCATGTGTTTGCAGGACGATAAGACAAAGATTGCAGAGTTAACTAACGAGCTGTTCCTCGAGAGAAAGCGGTCTGCTGCACTTAGAGAAATAGTTGATCTTCTATTTAATCACATTGAGGAACATACGCAAGACCTGTCGAAGAAAGTTCAGCATGTTGTCGACAATGTCAAGGAGCTTGAATCAGAAGGGAAAAACCGTCGTAGCCTAGGATAGGCCTGGCATTCTAATGTACATCGAATATTTTCACATTAGTTTGATACTTTCTATTTTATTTTGCGGAAGAAGTATTACTTTGAAATCTTAAGTATGAGTTAGCTGTGTTTTGTTTGAAACAGCCAACCCTATATCCAAATGCTCGTATGGTTGTCCTGGCACAAGTAACGAGTGTAGAATGTAGCATGCTAGAGTTGAGAGGTTAAGCCATTATTGTGTGCACTATGGTCTATGGGGGTGAGGTTGTACCATCCGTTCTGCTCCCATTCCCGCCAACACCATCGTCCTCGCCGCCACCCCCAACTCCTAAGATACCGAAACTGGCGGTCATTAGGGGGAAATCTTCTAATGATCCCAACCCCCGGAGGCATAATTCAAGAAATTTGTTTATGCAGGATTCATTTAGTAAGACAGTAGCTTTGTACGTTAAACTGAGAGCTGCATGTACAGGGCAAACTTTTATTCGCAAAAATTTAGTTGAGATTGGTCATCTTACAATAAAGGTGGATCTAGACTGGACAACCTACCGACGGATAAAGGGCGTTAAAACTTAAAAACACAAGTAAGTTTAGTAGTAAATCTCCATCTTCCAAACTTGAGGTGGGTACAACTGTAGAAGCACCTTTAACTACCCAATTTAAAAGCATCCACAAAGAGGCCTAGGCAAACACCTGCCTTCCAGTAATTCACCATCATGACAAACGACTTGAGCCTCCCACTCGATTGAGAGGGGGGCTTTCTATACATTAGCATGCCAATACCTTCAATGGCAGCAACCACTATACCCGCAACCAAAACATCCCAATCCCCCGTCTGCCCAAGGATTGTAGCCAACGCATTTGCCGTGTAGAAACCCAAAAGAAGAAGAAATATTTTCATTGGAAAATTTCTCCTGGCTAAATTCAGCTTCTCCAGTAGCTGTCTCCCACCTGCAGTCACTATCCGACCCAACCGGGTGGCATTGAGATTAGAGTTGTTGCCATTGATGCCCTCTTGCCCACCCTCATCAGGAACCCCACCTGTGTCCAAGGCAAAGGCTATTCTCCACTGTCGTCTTGTTGACTGAAAACTGCGTCAGCATACCAAAAATAAGCATGTTAAGAAGGGCATCAACATATTTTTTATGAAACAAGGCATCAGTACACAGCAAGCATTTGGACCAGGAAACTTATAACTCCTGCATACAGTTGGCACCAGTTTTATTTGATGTGGATATATAATGTTGACTGCCAACAAAAGTTCCAAAATGACTGAAATCATTCTCTGTAAATCCCTCTCCCAATCCTTTAAGCCCCTAGTTCTTAGTGAAGGCAGGATCTTGGAATAAGTTCCAAATCTGCAGCAAATTTGGGCATCATTCCACATCATAATTTTCTGGGACTCCGAAATAGGTAGGGTGGGCATACAGCAGATCAAAAAGAGGAAATCCAAGAAAGAATGCTAGAACAACAGAAGCAGTCTATGCGACAAGGATGCATACAACTCACATTATTTATAAAGTGCTACTAATTATTAAGGTATTGATAGGAATACGAGAAATCTCAAGTCATCCGTTCATATAAAGATATAATGCAGTTGACTTTATTCTGTAAACAACAAGAAAGCAGAAAGAAAATGCAAAAGCTCAGTCAGATATAGCATAGAACAATACAAACTTTGAGTGACCTAAAAATATGTATACCTCCTTTGGGGGAATGGCAGAGACTTTATGCGAATCTTTGAAGTTTGGACCATGAAAAAAGTTGGTTCACTGCAACAGTTGTGGATCATACAAGTTGCAAGAGCTACGTAAGATCTTTCAGGGATTTGATTCTCCAGTGGTGGTGCGGTTCCTATTCGAGAGGCCAAGAACTAGAATAGAGGGGTGGCAGGAAGAGAAAATGAAATTGTGAGTACACAACACAAGCCTTCAATTTGGACAGTGATGATGATGACTCAAGGTTAAGGATTGTTACAGGGGCTCACTTGAGTTTGATTCTTGTATAGTTATGAACATAAATTCATTTTGGAGAATGAGGTGGAGCCTAATTGATTCCATGGCAAAGTTGATAATCATACTAGTGTGAGTGAGTCTTGGCATATTTGATAGACTTGTTGATATCAATCATCCATAACCAAATGAAATGAAGAAAAGAAAGCAAATTGCACATGAATTCATCTAGGAAGCAGAGAAAATGAACAAAATACATAATGATCTGACCTCCCAAAAACCCCTTCTTATGCGAAAATACAATTAACAATCAAACAAGGCAGACAGATGATCATAAGAAAGAAGCCCAAAGAACAAAAGGGAAAATACTTGGAGCCAATTACTGCTAGGGACAGGAGTCGGGAGCCTTTGGCATGAACAGAAGAATCAACAAGCCAGACACAGACGGACGCAGTCACCCATGACCCACCCAGCCATAAGGAAACATTTATAATAAAAATTATAAAATTACAAGAGATAAAGATAAAGAAGATTACATTACTCGCCATTGAACTTTGAAGAGAACAAGTGCCAGTAGTCGGAAGACAGTGGCAGTGGCAAGGCTTCGTCTCAGAAGCAGCAATTATCAAACCGGAGCATGAGACGAGATGAGACGAGATGAGATAGATTCATTCAGCGATTCAGCAGCAGCAGCGTAACTCTGGGTCTACTTTTTGCAACAATCCATTCACTTTTTAACATTTTGTTTACTACTATACATCCCTAAAACGAAAGACGAAAGTCATTTACTAAAATGCCCTCCACGCGATGACTCGGTCATTGGTGTGCGTCTTCTGTTCTGTTTCCGAATCTCAGCAGTGCAGAGTGAACAAGACCCAGCAAATGAAGGCAATTGGGCGAATTGGGGTGAGCGGAACTGGAATATTCAAAAGATTATTTATTTATTTTTGAGGAACAAGATGGGTGGTGGGTCGAGTGGCATTCTGATGATGGTGTTTTGGGTTATAATGCTCTGCCACTGCCTCCCTCTATATCTCAATCTCGATCTCAATCTGTATGCGGTAGCAGTACCAACGACTGAAGAATCCGAAGAAGAATTCCAACAACAACTGAGGAGGGCGGTAGATGTGAAGGGAGGCCCCGACTCAATTGTGTGGGTGGTTCAGCTCTCTGATCTCCATTTCAGCGTCCACCATCCCGACAGAGCTCTCGACTTCAAGGATTTCGTGGGTCCCGCCCTCTCCTTCATCAACCCTTCTCTCGTCTTCATCACCGGTGATCTCACAGGTCTGTTTTCATATGTCATCACATGGATGATGGGTGACGGGTGATGTATGAAATGAAACATATTTAGTGAATACTAATATTCTCAGTCACAGGCATAGTATTGATTAGTGCATACTCATGTTTGGATTTTCATGTATAATTATTAATCAGATGGAAAAAGCAAGGATTTGTTGACAATGAAGCAAAATGAGGACGAGTGGCTGGAATACCACAACGTCATGGAGGACGTCATCAAAAGGAGTCGACTTGACAAGACCCTCTTCTTTGATCTCAGAGGAAATCACGACAACTTTGGCGTCCCACAGCTCGGCGGCTCCTTTGATTTCTTTTCAAAGTATAGCATCAGTGGCCAGTTGGGCAGAAGGCGGAATGTCAACAGTGTCACTCTTCAGGTATTATTCCTCTCACTTTCAGACTCTCAGTTTCAGAGAGAGATGCTTCATATCTATATGTCATCGTGTATTCAATAACTCAACTCAACTTGTGTGCTTAGTTTACCCAACATTCAGTTCAACTTTAATGTACGTTCCCAATTCCCATGCTTTGATCACAGATGCTACCGTTCCCTTAAATGTTTGTTAATTCAAAAGCTTTTCGTCATTTCCCCAACTTTACGCCTTTCATTTCCATCCAGACTGGTGATCGGAAGCATCTCTTTGTTGGAGTCGATACCACAATGTCTGTTGGTTTACGAGGTCCAACTAATCTCTTTGGGCATCCAACTGATCAACTATTAGCAGAATTGGATACACACCTCTCACAGTGGGACTCTAGATCACAAGAACCATTAAGCAAGATTTCCTTTGGGCATTTTCCTCTTTCATTCTCAGTGACCTCAAACTCTGGGAAGAGCCTAAAAGATATATTCCTCAATCATTCCATATCAGCTTATATATGTGGGCATCTGCATTCTAGGTTTGGCAGAAACTTGAAGAGGCGCCATCAGTTGAGTCGTCACTTTTTATCCTTGCACAAGTTTTTCCAGCTTAATGTACACCAGCCCTATTTTCATAGTGCTGTTAACTGTTCAACTGAAGCCCCAGCCGCCAAAGAGTTCTGGGAGTGGGAGATGGGTGACTGGAGGAGGAGCAGAGCCATGAGAATTTTGGCCATTGATAGAGGCCATGTTTCGTATGTTGACATTGATTTCAAGTCAGGCACCAAAAAGACTATCATATTGCCAACTTTTCCCCTGGACTCACGGTTCATGTCAACATCTTCATCCCATCACGAGTATGAATGTCATGATATGGTCCCTTTATCTTATGGCACAGTTAGAGCCCTAGTGTTTTCTGTTTCTCCAATTGCATCAGTTACGACTAAGATCTATGACTCAAGACCTGGATTTCTCAATCTGGTATTTGAGGCACCCATGCAAATGATTGGGGATAACACCTCCAGGGGAGATCTTTATGTTGCTCCATGGAATCATAGAGCCTTTGAGGATCCAGTCCCAAGCAGATATTGGTTGCAAATAGAAGCAACAGACTTCATGGGCAGATCAATTTTATCTGATTTGAGGCCGTTTTCTGTTAATGGCCTTACTACTATGACTTCATGGACCTGGAAGGAATTTATGGTCATGGGTTGTCAATGGGATGCCTTGTATTACCCAATGCTCTGGTGTGCTGTATATTTCATACTCTCCATCCTCCTTATTCCAAAAGCTATCCTCACTTTCTCAGTTAGGCATTTCACTTACAAGAATAAGGGCTTCGTTAGTGCTGTAGGATTGGTTTTTCAGGAGCTCTGCAGGCTTCCCGTAGCCTGGTTTGGTTTTTTAGGATACTTGTTCTACCTTATATTATTCCCCTGGTTTACTGGGCAAGTTTTCACGGACAGCAAGGATAAAGGATACATGACCTATATGGGGTGGGTGGTCAAATCTTTCAATCAGAAGGGAAAACATGAGTATGTTGGATCTCCAGATGTAATGGTAGTGGTTCTTCCACATCTCGTCTTTGTGGTTTTTCCTGCTCTTTTCCTGACTGCTGCTTTGGCTACTGAAAAACAGATCTATAGGGAGCATTTCCTCTCTGTTACAGGGAAGAAAGAAGATGACTATGGTCCAGAGGAAAAGAGATCTTTATGGTACGATTACTCAGGTAATAGGAGATCAAATTCTGGTGTTGGAAACCGGTGGATTCGAAATGTACTTTTGGTTCTTTGCTTAGCAGTTTGTTGGAAGCACTTTATGGTAAGGTTTCTTTCACTGCCCCCCATTTCTGCTTAAAATATATGTCGTAAATATGTGAATACTTTTCCAGACTTTTTAAGATAATGGAGGCAAGAGAAGTGCTTGGAACCTTGCAACCACCATTCTGAAACGTTGCGAGGTCTCCAAACTGAATTCTCTTGCTTCTATCGTCCTGGGAACCATATTGAAGTAATGACTATGAGGGCATAAATCAAGATGCATCTTTTGTTTTCTTTGTAATCAGTTTGCATATTGTACTTATGTATGTTGTACTTTGGTTTCTATGTTTCTTTTGTCTCTGGATTGCAGAATTGCAGGACTCTCATCAAAGCATATGAGATGAATCCCATTCTCCATTTTCCAGGATATAGCCTAGCAATTCCACTACTGTTGGCTTATACTGCCTACAAAACCAGGAGTGTATAATTACCACGCGCGCATTGCAGGCAGCAAAATTCGACTCGCATTTCTTCAAGTTGTATCAGCATTCCTTGTTGCTTGCCAGTAACCAGGTTAGGGCGGATTCATTCGTGCAAACTTGGGTTTGGGTCAGGTGACAAAATAAGACGACCGGAAAATTGGTGCTTTGAGTCTTAGATGTCTGTCAGGGCAGGTGCATTTGTACGTATGGGGTTGGAGATGACTTGTGTTGGGAAAGCAGGCAGCCCTAGGCCCCTACCTAGCTAACACCTAGGCCACGCTAGGGATATATTGTACTTTTGTAACTTGGTTGCTTCTAAGGAGGAGGGATTTGCAATTCATCTCTCTTTTGCATCTTATGATACGTGAACTTGCTGAAGAATTGATCTTGTCAAATACCGTTTGATACAAAATTCTCTGTTAATCTTAATTCAGTCACAACAAAGCCGATATTTTAGAGCATCATAAGAACAAGCGCCGGATGTAACTTCAGTCAGAACGCAAAATCCAAATCGCCGTATATTTGGATTTTACTTGCACAATGATACAAGAAAACAATGGAAATTAAAGAATAGTTCAGAGGGAAATTGGAGCGAAAGGAAAACCCAAAGGGGATTTCGTTCGATAACATTCAAGATGAGAAAAATAGGTAGATAAATAGTACGTAACTTATTTAATTTGCGCAGGCGCAGCAGGGGACTAGTTCACTCTTGCAAGTTACAACCACCACCCCCGACTTTTTTAAATATTCAAACTTTGCTACAATTTTATCAGCAACTGATTAATGACATGAAAATTACAGATCCTGGGCATTTGCATCTGCATGAATCAAGACAGCCACGTAAATGCTAGGAGAACAACAGGAACTATATACAGCTCATGTTCCTATAAACAAGCAAGACAGTCTCTTCCTCCCACCCTTGTTATTTTGTGCATCCTCCTCGCACTTGCAATCCCAACCCGCCAGGCCAATTCTCCGCTGCAATCTGCCAGCCAAAGAGGCAAAACCAAGGCTTCCACAACCGATTAGGCCAATTTGCATAGGAAACACAAGTTACCGGCGCTGTTGACACATCTGGCACACACTGGCCGACCTGACATTTGCAAAGGTGCAATGTTCACAGGACCAGTGGCCTAAATCGTCAATGTTTCTACTCAAACCACTAGACTTGGATGTTGAAGCCTTGCCCCTCCCACCTCTTCCCTTACTTGAACCTCCCAAACACTTTGAGCTTACTGTCCTGCTGCAGGCACCATGGGAATCCACATCTGACAGACCATTCTCCAGAGCTCGAACTAAATTTTCAAAGTAGTTTCGAGTCACGCTGTTTTCATTGAAATTGACCGTAAATCAATAAACTGAAAAGTTATATCCTTGTAACCCGAGTCAACTCGTCCAATCAGAAAACTATAGCATAATATCTTTAGTCGAACATAACCTGGTCAATCCAGCAAGTTTTGTGCGGAACTCATTGAAATCTTTTGATGGGTCCTCATCATTAAGGTAGACTTGTAGCTCCTTTTCTGCACATTGATGAAGCCGTTCCAACCCAGACTCAGCTTCACCTGCAGAAACAGATATTAATTAGGACAAAGCAACATGATGCATCGCCTCTCTTCAAGCTTGAGAAAATGACATACCTTGCAAGTACTCAAAGAACTGTCTCTTGGCATGTTCATGCTCCGGTAGATAATATCCATAAGCATATGTCCATTTTAGTACTCGCCTACATTCAACTATCTGAAAATAGAGAAAATTTACTAAGAAAAAGCAAAACACTCTTGGTAGAAAAGTGTGGTAACTTGTAGGGTACCTGTAGCCAGGCCTCTGTAATGAACTTCAGCTGTGACTCAGGTTGGCACTGGATATCGCTCAGCTTCTCAAGCTACAATAACAACATCGACAGTATACTTAAAAACGCTGAACAGAAAACAGTAGGTGGAGAAAATTGTACATATATAAAATACACTGCACCAAGCATAAACCCAGGAACACAAACTACACAATTGATATTCACATCAATCACCTATACCAGAATCACTAACCAAGAAAGACCTGATAGTAAAATGTTTTACTTACATGCACAGTTTGCATCTGCTGCAAATCTGCAAGTGCTTTTTGCCGGGACTGCAGTGAAGGAAAGGTAAAAAAAAAGAAATTAGACTCTAACATAATGTATTTTATTAAGTATAGTAGATTGTCATGAAGAACATGTATTTTGACATTATTAGATACTATTTTATACCCCAGCAAAGAAGAAAATAGAAACTGCTAAAGCATCAATTTAAAAAATAAAAACATCTGCACATGCACAAAAAGCCTATGATAAACATCAAGCAATTGACATTAAGTCAAAGAAAGCATCTGCTAAAGCATCAAGGAGTAAGCAAATAAGTCAAAGAAAGCCACATGACTTGTTTTATTAAAAAAACCAACCAACTTTAATAACTAATTGACATTTCCAACAATGAGCAAACATCAATACTTCAGAAAACTGAACATAGCAAGCATAATGATTAGTTGTCAACAGATTTGTTGCCTACAAGTTTGTAACGTGTGTAGACATCAGCAATGTAAAGGAAATATATAAACTTGTCTTCTGTACGTGTTCATGCAGAGTCACATTATGTATGTATGACTGTTTACTACCGAGGTAAAACATAGCTAATAAGTTAACTGAACTTGGCTCATTAAGAAAGATGCCTTTTAGATAGTTAAACATTAGGAACTATGTGCATACATGAGAACTTCAGAACCCTGATATCTGAGTGATATCAGTTTTACTAAATTCTTAGGCAAACTAGGTACTTACCGATTGATTGGTTGCCCATCTTTCATAATAATGAGTGTACCTCTCCAGAGAGTTCTTGGCCATCTCTCTTCGTTTCTCTGCCTCATCATACTGTATATAACAATATGATAAGAATCATATAATATGGCACAAACTGAGTTAATAGCTTGAGAAAATACACGACCATCATAATAGATATGCAAACTACATTAACATACCACTCCCTCCTGCTTTGCTGTCTCATAACGGTTACATGCATAAAAGCCACCCGTCCTTTCACCATGGTCCGACCACGCACCGAGGCAAAGCCTGAAAGCATGTACTACATGTATCAGTGTTCTAGAAAGATTTTGTTTTCTCCTTTTGAGCAGATAGTGTTCAAACAAGGCGCATGATGACATGAAATCAAGCTTTGACATAAGAAAGTTATGCCTTTGTAAAAAACTAGGAAAGGGGCACAAGATATTAAATCATTTTTCAGATGATTGCTATACACAGGAAATCAAAATGCAAAAGGTAGTGTTCCTAAAATGCTTACCAGCAAAACTCAAATTTACAAGGTGGTGTGCAAGTGATGTGCATACAACCTTGGTTTTTCTCAATCGGCCGTTTGCACTTTGGGCAGGGCTTGGAATTAGCCAATATCCTGAAATCCATCAATATAACTTTAGTATTTTGAGCTAAAAACAATAAAAAAATATTTTGTGAAGCTGCTATTGATGACATGTGCATCAGAGAGAGATAGGCCCTCAAGGAAATTTTTGAAGACTTAAGTCTTCTTTTAGTCCATCCCTGATGTAAACCTGACTGCCTATCTTTCTGTGGCTATACCCGTCAAAATATTTTGAACTAGGAACTGGAATAAGCACAATTTTGTCCAAACTATAAGCTTAACATGCAAACGTTGATATATTTTACTACAATATTTTAGGGAGTCATCGAGAACCCAGCTCCCAACTTGTAAAGTCCATACTAAGGGGACCATTACAGACCTTTTCTTTTGGCCGGCACCATCCCACACTTCAACATTGGCATTTGCGCACTGCCTAGCTACAGGATTGTCATGTAGATATGACATCAAAGTGGATATCCAGGATTCCAGGATAAGGTTTGGACATGTCTAGCAATTATTATGGTAGGGACTGGCCATGCTTTAATCAAACATTACTTGGGTTCAGCACATAGATTATTTTCCCATCATCCTATGGGACCTGGAGAAGTCCAATGTTCACATCTGATCACTATTCTCCTGCTTTATAAGGTTACTATTCCGCCGATAACTAATGCTTACGTACCAATTCATATTTTCAGATTCTGCACTATTCTTCATTATCCATTTTGACACAGTGCCGCAATCAACGGGACGATGAGCTTCCTCAGTACACTGCAAGGTCAAATTCACATGATGTAAATGCCATGAGCACCTATGAAGCACAAGATAACTTCATATGAAGCACCAAGTGGTATTATACAATGCTTAAGGGCTCATATGCAACATAAAACAAAGCATAAATATAAAACAAGAAGAAAAAATAACAAGCCATGTATATATGCATCATTACAACACATATCATATTCTAATTTTTGAAGATTTCTCACATTGCTGCATCATATCATATCTTTATCCTGTACGCCATACAAAATGCACATACATGCAATATTCAACGAAGATAAAAACTATATGTGAAAAATTCAAAGAGACTCACATTCCAGCAAAAGCTATATGAACAGCGGCAGGTAACATCATAGCTTCCACCACCAACAATAAAATTTATAGCATAATCACAGCCTGGAGCAGGACACCATTTGGTCTACAGAGAAACATCCATGAAATAATAATGGTCAACAAAATATTGAATGAAGGCTAGTAAAAAAATACATCCAAATGCAAAATATACATTTAAAACCTTACAGAAAATCCATAAAGTCATGCATTACCTTGCCCTGGTTGTACAGAACAACTAGGGCAAGGCAATGAAGTTGTACAGAACATAAATATTTTTCTGTAATCACTTGTCAGAAATGAAGCAATCTTTAAGTTTACTTCTAAGCTGCCACTGCAAAACATTTCTCACTCATATACTGTTAACTATGACGTCACCAAGTCAACTGCATGTCTAGTTTACATAAAACACTAGTACCGAATTTAAGATGGGTCAACTAAGGCTAATTGATCAACTCGCCAACTAGAATGGTTCTACTTGTTTTTAATCACTATAACCTCAAATTAATTAAACGTTTGGCAAGTAAGAAGATATAACGGCTAAGGTTTTGCATTTATTTTGGGAGAATAGACAAATCGCTGATCATTGTGATCAAGGATCGAATCGTGGGATTACCTTCCTATTGTCTTCAACATAAGATCTAAGAAAGTAGCGCGAATATTTCTCCTTCTCTTCATAGGAAGCCAAATCATTAATCATATCTTGGAAAACAACAGCACTACAAGATGGATCCGGACAGTGCAACATCAAACATCCAGGGCCATCATTAATGGCCGTGCCAATATAGCCTACAAGACATGGAAAATGATAAAAGAACGTAAGACAAAACTCAAAACTCATTTGGAAACAATAACAAGATGAAAAAATGATATATATATATATATATATATATATATATATATTTGTAAACTTCAGATTACTGGATACTAGATGACAGAGACGTAAAAATACAAAAATTGTATCCGCAGTACAAGAAACGGAACTACAATACATATAATACATCTCTTTATCAACACTCATAATTTACACGTATTGCTCCTAGAAAATGCTATATATGATGGGAAAACAAAGACCCACTAAATGATGACAAAAGGAGGACCGGTCTGGCCTTTTATGTGCAACCATAAAGTCACTAACACAGGTCTTGCACAAATGCAAGAGATCCACATGTATTGAGGAACCTATAAACAAAAGTTTGACTAAATTGCTGAACATACTTTTCTTATATTACAGCATTCTCCTTATATAAACGCATCCCTGGTGATAATAGAAAAGTGAAAAAATCATGCACACTACAAGTTCAACTTTTCCATGGAAGAAAAAAGAAAAAAATATATGACATTGTATCAAACCTGCCCAGCATGAGGAACAAAAAGGATGACCACAAGCTGCAGCATGCATCTTATCATGAGGATAGGTCTCAAAACAAATCCCACAATTAAGCTGTTAAAAGACAAAAACAAGTTATCAAAGCTGTCAGCAATAACAACGGTTTGGAGGAAAAAAAAAACTTTGAAGCAAAAAATGCCCAAACTTGATGACATACGAAAGCAGGGACTGCTTACTTCACTTGCATAAGGGTATTCAACAACTGGTTTCTCGGGCAAGCCAACAGCCCTGCGAACCTTTCCTTCATCTGCAAACCACTCATCATGTACTTTACTGACACTCCTGTGAGTATGAAGGAAGTATAGGTTCATTAGAAAATCCAGAAAAACAATGCACCATTGTATACAACTTACCAAATAAATGCACACCAAACAAATTGAGCAAGGTATAGTGGAAATTATCTGACAAACTAAATTTGGTTCACATAACCGAGGTATCCATTAGTAAGAGTAAAGGCAATCCATGTCAGCATGTAAAGAAATTAGCCAAATAAGCAAAGAAAACAAACATTGGAGACAGCAATTTACCAATTATAGTAGCGGAGTAGTATGCTAGCTGCAACTTTTAGAATAGAAAGCACTGTAGATATCCTCACAATATCCTCCTCTTGATGCTGACGAATGTCAGCCTCTGTCAAAACGGTGTAGTTTTGCTGCAATAAAAATGTAACGAAATTACAACAATAATGAGCGCCGCAACTAACTGATAAACTTATTTTTGGCCCATAGACAAGCATCCAAAACTCCTAAATTAAAGATCCATACATACACTTAGTAAACGAGATTATATAATGCAATAAAATAAAAAAAGCGAAAATAAAGCAAAGATATCACAGCCTAGTAGAGTTCATTACAAATTTCCAAAGTTTGGAATTCGTGTGTAGAAATCCACTAACGAGTTTCATGTAAGGTGCAAAATTTCAATTAGTATGTATCAGTATCTTAAACTAAAAGACTTTTCTCATCTTTAGACACAACAATGAGAGCACACAACATTCTGCGATATGGATCAGTTTTAGCTTTTACTTGTTCCAAGATCCAAATGCTTCAAGAGAAAGGCTACCAAATCCCTGGAGTTCACCGAAACAATGAACAACCTTCAAAGGACCACAAAGATAAAAAATAAAAAATTAAAAGAAAAAAGCCCCAATCACTTCAACCATGGTCAGCTACCAATCAAATAAATACCAAATTTCTCTAATAAACATAATTGGCTTTATCCACCAACAAAAGTCCCTGACTTTAACAAATCAACTAAAGTGCCACGGGGGGGGGGGGGGGGGGGGGGGGGGGGCGCACGTGCCCGAGGCCTGAACAAAAAAAAATTACAAATCAAGTAAACAAAAGAAAAAAACACCAGATATAGTTTACCCACGATCTATGCAAACTCTTTTTTGTTAGGAATAGCAGCAACTACGGAAATCCTTCCTTGGTAACTCTAGCCCAACTAACCCAAATATCAAAATCAAGGATTGTTAACATTATAACGAAGCTAATAATTCTAGCAGAATTAGCATTTCCACAGTACAAGTAAAGGCTCCGACTTTTTAAAACATTCCCACAACACGAACTAAATTTACATTTCGGATAAATCAATGAAATCTAAGATCAAAATCAGCAACACTAACATTACCACAAAGCCGAATACAAAAAAAAGAAGAATTTTTTTATGATTAGACCCAATATAAAAATTAAGCATATTTAACATATGGACAAGTACTAAAAGGGCTCAACTTTGAAAACCCAGAAGAAGCATGAGAATAAAAAATCAATTAACCAAAATCATTTCAAAGAAAATAAAAGAGAAGATATGAAATTGTGATAATTGAAGAGAAAAGCCACCTGGTATCGATGCGAGGCGACATCATTGGAATCGTCGGAGTCGTTGTCGATGAACTCGTAATCAGCAACTCCAGCGTCGTCGCTGTCCATAGCGCCAGCTGCATCATCATCGCCGCCACTGTAGAAATCGTCGTCGTCGTCATCGTTGGCGTCGAGCATGTCGAACTCTTCGTCCGAATCCATTTCTTGGATTTCTGACCAAAAGGATCAAAACCCTAATTGGGAATCAATCCTAATTTGCATAGGACCGACGGGGATTGGGGGTGATTAGATTAGAGAAAGAGAGGGGGAGTGGCAGAAATGGAAATCAAAGGAGAAGGGAGCGTGAAAGGGGGAAAGAGAGTGTGAGCGTTTTTTGTGGTTGACTGGTTGATTGGTTGATTGAAGAAAGGGAAAGAAAGAAGAAAGGATTCAGAGGAGATGGAAATGGAAATGGAAATGGAAATGGAGAGGAAAATGTTGCTTTTCATGATGACTGGGATGGCCACGGTAGGGGGAGAAATAGGAACTCTTTGCCGAAAGATGGGCAGGAATTTCTAGTCAAAATTTCTCAAAATTATTACAATTCATTCTACTCAAAATTTCTTAAAATTGTTACAATTCATTGTTTATTTATAGAACTTCATATTTATAATTAAAACTTTTTATATTATAAATCATCATATAAAGATCAACTTTACAAAAAATCAATTAAAACTAAGATCATTTGGCCATCAAATTATTTTAAAACAAATGAACGGTTGACCATCAATCTATTTAAAAACAAATGAACAAAATTGGTAAAAGTATTACGAACTGTCTATGCATTTGCTACAATAGATTGATTAAACAACCTTAGTTTTTATTTATTTTTTGCAAAAATGATCTTTACTATGTGATTTATAGTATGAACGATTATGATCATATGTACAAAGCTATGTGATTAAAACACTAATTGCGCGTTTATGTAACTGTAATGAAAATAGGATAAATTGAATTGAGGGGGAGTTGAAATGAGAAGTCAGAATCGGATTCCTATTGAAGCTGTTTACTTAAATGTTCTAGAATCGGAATAGAAATGACACTAATTCCATAAAACTGTTTACTAATTAAGCAGAATCAGAATATAAACCAGTATGATTACTAAAATGCCTTTGTCCCAAATCAAATATTTTATATACTTTTTTATAGTAAAATTTGATATAATACATAATAGTAAGAAAAAAAATTAAATTGTTTTTTTATTTCATAGACACACTAAAACGCTTTTGTTTATTTTTTTTATAAATTTAAGTATTTACTTTCATGTTTAAATTTTCTCGCTCAAGTTGTATTTTCATATCTTCGGCATATGCATGGGGTTGTGCATAATGTAAATGAGCATGAAAATTAAAAAAAAAAAGTAAGGAGTTGTGCATAATTAAACTAGGGTTAATGGGTTTATAAAGGATAATTTTGGAAATAAAAAAAAGTAAGTGATGGCGTAAAGGGAACAAAAAGATCATTCCAATTGCCCAAGCAATCAGGAATTGAATTATCATCTACATCTAAGGAATCAAATTCCACCAATACAAGGGATTAAATTACAAAATTTGTGTGGGCCCCACTGCTTTTTTGATTCTTCGATGTTTGGTAAACACCGGAGTATTTCATAATCGGAATACAATTCTACATTTTCATTCTGATTACGGATACGTAAACACATCCTAAGAATTTTGAGTAGAAATTCCTACTCATTTTTGAGTAGGTAAGTATGGTTCGAGAAATAAAGGTAACATTTTCTTTTTTATTTTTGGAACTACAAAGATAAATCAAATTACTATGCATTTTTGTTTGTGTAAATTCTCCCTTGTACTGCCGCTTAGTAAGATAGATTTTTTGTTAAGTAACAAGATGTCAAGTTCGACTTTTATCGTGAATGGTGACTAATGAGTCACTTGGTAGTATTTCAACCGCCTCAATGACTTAAAATTGTCCACAAGAGGGAGGTGTTTAGTAGTATTACAATAGATAAAAAAAACACAATACAATACAATCAAGAGAGATTATATTCACATACCTCAAATTATTTCTTAACTCTTTTAATATATATATATATATATATATATATATATATATATATTATCAAGTGGTAGTGCTGTGCAGATATCAAAAAATATTAAAAAAATAAAAATATATGAAAAAAGTAATTTGAGGTGTATGAATTTAATCTCTCTACAATCAAGTTAACCAATTTATCAACCATAAATTTTATCCACGATAAACATGAAGGAGTTCTTCTCATTCAAATTGTTCATTTTATCTTATAGTAATGGTAAACTTTTATGAACCATCTTTTGTTTATGTGATTGGACATATAGTAACTACTTTGGCTATCCATTGCGCATCATCTTTTGTTACTTTTCTAATAGTGTCATATTCCCAACCAAAAAAATGAAGTCTACCAGCTCTCTTTCTCTGCTAACCCTGGCAGCAAATTTGATACAAAGCTGTGATATTATTAGTGTTATTGATGAAAAATAAACTATTTTTCACAAACGTGTACATACAAATATAAAAGGAAATTGAATTCCTCACAAATAGATATTGCACACACATTCACTTATGCCCTTTGTCATGACATAAGTAGAGAGGTCTTTGTCATTTGGTTAGCATAAATTCATGATTTGAAACTTTCGTCACCTTGAAGCAAGCTTTTGTTCTCCGCCGAGTTCTTCAAAACCAACCACCCCCAACTCTAAGTCTCTAATGCATGTTCTTTGTCTCAGTTTCCCTAACAAATAGACAGCATTCAATTTCACTACTCAGACAAATTAGACTCTCCCTTAGCATGTCCGAGAACACGAGATACGGATACTGCATCCTGCAGCTATGCGCTGATTTGGCTGCCAAGAATACGCAGGATAATGGATACAAGGAAACTTATATATCTAGCTATCTATCTATATACATACACACATATATTGTGAGTTCCACTACAACAAATTTCACAAATTCATAGATATCTGAAACCTATATCCGGTTGGAAAATAAAATTTACATGGACATTATTGATATGGAAGTTATGACTGGTAAAGCCAAATAATGACAGATGAGCACAAGATTGGCTTTAGGGGTAACATAATCATACAGTTGCTGCCTTGAGAGACAAAAAGTCTGAAATCTTGTTTGTGTAAAAATCTGGTTGTATGGAGTTGTCGGGATTCTGAAGCACCGGTAAGGTGGTGACGCCTATCACACACAATGGAAAAAGCCTTCCTTAGCTAAATACAATCCAAAATGAAGTAAAAATTTGGCCCAAGTAATGCAGAA